TGCTCGAGCACCCTCGATGTACAGTTCACAGCCCCCCACCACCACCACACCTCTCTCTCTCTCTCCATACCCCCCATCCCCCATTTTGGTTTGAAGCAGGGGCAGATGGGATGTCCTCATCTTGGTAACCATTTTCCATAAATAAACATACATATGGATTTGATTCAAATGAAATTGCAGCCTGTGTTTCTATGATTTCTTTGGCGGGGACAGAAATCTTCACGTTACATGAACACAGGAGAGTAACCTGCTGTGTGTAATGTATGTTAAGCACATGTATGACCATGTACAGTAGATACTTGCTCTATGTGCTTTCATCTCACTACTTTTTTTTTTTCCAATTTGGAACGAGCAGAAATAAAAAAGCGTCACTCGATTATAAAATCGTGAAAACCGGGAATGTGTGAAGTGACAGATAATCACACCTGAACCAACACGCAGCGTCTACATTTTCTTTGTGAATTCGTGTCATCTGACTACTTCACATTCAGCTGAATGACTGTCAGGGTAGAGTGCCCCCCCCCCCCTCCAGTGGTCCACCATAAAACCCTGCAAGGCAGTGTCTGATGATTGGCAGGTACCCCATGAGGGCTGTGTGTGTATACGTGGGGGTTGGTCTATATGTGTGTGTGTGTGTGTCTGCATGTCTCAGGCTCACTGCCATGTTTACTGCATACGTGTGTTTGTCTCTGTGCACACGTTTGTTTCAGCCCAACAGATAACATGACACTGCAATTAGCTCTCTTCACAATCATGTTATGGATTTGTCCTGCTGCAGTGCAGCACTGGCTTCAACAACAATACAGTGCTTGTGTGGAGCATGAGACAAGGTATGATGAATGATTCAGCCCTGTGGGCATGCAGGCACTCTGTGTGTGTGTGTGTGTGTGTGTGTGTGTTTGCGTGCGTACTGGTGTGTATGTGAGGAAGCTGTTGGGGAGGGGGCTCATAAAATATCTGGACTGTTGTTATTTATTGCTGTTTCTCATTTGTCATTTATGGAATATTGTAGAAAATATGTAATTGGGAACATGGCCATGCATTCGGGCTTTATTAGCACCCCCAGAGCGAGGAGAGACGTGCTTATGAAAGCGCTGTTATTGATGGGTGGGTGCTTATGCAGGAGGACATCTTTCCTGTATTTATTTATTTATGTATTTCTTCTCCAGAGAGAGGAGTGCAACCCCCAGCTGAATTAATCAATGCTGCCTCTGTGCTCTGTCCCCTGTGGGTTAATGCAGCCACATGCCCAGAGAAAATCAGATAGTCTGAGCTGCCAAATCAAATCATTTACCTGATCTTTACTTGATCCCTCAGCTGATAGGACAGAATTAACCCAAGCCCCAGCGATGATATTTGAGGTTGATGTTAGATGTGGTGTCCAGGCAGAGATAAGAGGTAAACAGGATGGACAGGAAAGAAAAACACAACTAACCTAACACAGAGATGAAGATAACAGATCTTCTCATTGTGCACTGGCCCACAGAATAAAAAATCATGTTAGTGGAATGAAAAATCAGCTGTGGTATTATATTGACTCAGCAGCGTTTTAGGTAATAAATCATGGATTTCAGTACTTTTCCACTGCAGCCCCACATAGAGCACAAGCTTGGAGCTTAAAGTTGGACCATCCTCAAAGAGCCCAGTTGGTGTATAGGCTCTAAAAAAACATAATCTACCAAATGGTCCCATCTGTTCCTGCAGTAAAGCGTCGCTGTGAGAAGCTCTAACCTAGAAATAAACAGATAGTAGATAGGTCTGTAATTACCATCCAGTGCTGAAGGTGAGAACCTGGATATGAAGCACACATTGTTCCACTGATTAACTGTGCAACAGGGAATTCTGAATTAGTTTTTATTGGGTTGTTTTGGCTGAACAGCTGATGGATTAAATTGCACAGAATTGCACTGAGATAGCAACATAATATTTTTGGACCGTCACATTCAGCCTTTGGTGAACACAATTAAGATGATTTAATTAAATTGGAAGATTATGTTCAATATTGCTTGTGTGTAAAACATGCGGCACGTGATGCGTTTGTGGATAGAGAATAATATTGCTCTCATTATCTGAAAGGAATCATGATTGAGCTGTTTGATGAAAGTGTATTAAAACCACCTCATCTCGCAGACATACCCACCTCAAAGTGGAGAGGACCCCCCCCCCCTCGAGCACCGCGGGTATTTGACATGAAAACACAACAAGGAGAGGGTGAAACCTGCCTCATGCTCGCAGGGTGAAAAGAGAGCAACAATAGGGCCTTAATCTGAGGGCAGTGTCTGAAATCCCAGTCGGAGCGGTTTGGAGAACAAAGGCCGGGTCGGACGGCCCCGGGACGGGACACCGCTCTGATCTCCGCCTGGTCGCCTAATTCCCTTTCCGGGTTCCGTCAGGGATGACAGGCGCTGCGAGCAGACAGGTCAGCGGGGTGAGGGCTGTCGCCGGGCGGCTTCTTCTTTCTCCCCAGCTCGGTGGTAATGTCCGATGGGCTTAAAGAAAAAAAAAAAACACACTCAGACCGACCACCGAGGGTGTGTTGCACCTTCAACCGGAACACCGGGCAACCAAGCGGGAGGCCCGTGTCTCCGCCGCCGCTGCTGGTGGCTGGTGTCCGCGGCTGCAGTGGAGGAGCTGCCTCCGCTGTGCTCTCTCTCCTTTCGCGGTTTGGTCCCAGTTGAAGCTTTTCCTTTCCCCCTAACGGAGGGTCGCCTTGAAACCGACAAAACTGTCAGGAGGAGGGGCTGGAGAGGTAGAGAGAGGTGGGGGGGTGGGGGGGGGGTGGGGGGTGGGGGGGGTGGTGGTGGCACTGGGCGAGCTTGAAACCGCCTCAGCTTTTTTTTTTTTTTTAATCAACATTTTTTGCAACTATGTAACACAGAGCGGTTTACTTCAAAGGAAACTTATGGATAATAAAAAAGTCAGATAAGCACCGTGCACGAGGAGGAACATAGAGGTCATGTGAGAAGGTGATTAAGAGCCACAGTTCACACCAAAGGTCCAGACCCCCCCCACACACACACGACCCCTCCTTCCTGAATTTTAGCATAACAGCTCTAAATGAGCACGCCACTTTTTCCTCCTCTTCTGATGCAAATCTGTGTGTCAGACTCCGCCCACATTATGCACAAGGAGACGTCACCTACACAGTCTGTTTTTGTGCATTTGTATACCGAGAACCGCGGGCACCAGTCTGTTCCTCGGTGAAGAAATGTGTGTGTGTGTGGGGGGGGGGATCAAAAAATGTGGCGGTCATGAAGGCGACTACAATGACGAGTCTCATGAGAAAGGTGCAGGATGCTGTTGGTCAGTGCCCGCCCTCCATCCGCCTTCTACAGCACTGAGGGACTATAGTTGTACTTTTATTCAACATAGATGTGACATTAATGCCTCTTTATACTGTCTCTCCTTCTGTATTCTTCATTTGTTGGACTCCTGACTAACAATTAATGGTGTGCTCTTAGACATTTGGTGTTAAATGCGAAAACTAATTTTGAAAATTAAGATTATTATATGGATATCTTCTCAATTACAGTTTTCAGGAATTACAGGAAACATCCCTGTTTTTAACTGTGAATTAACTGTGAATTAAAAACAAGTGTTTAGCCTTGTGCTTGTTTTGGCCAACAGAGGGGGCTAGCTGCTAGCTATAGCAGCTTCAGAAATGAAGCTAAAATAATCAAAATAGAGTTATCCAATCTGTTTTTTTTGTTTTTTTGTCATTACAAGGTAGAGATGAGATTAATTGGCTCACTCATTGGTCAGGAGTTCATAACCAGACACTAAACTAATGAAAACAAACATACCCAAAGCCCCCCATCTGAAACTTGAAAACATTCTTAAGTAGAAAGAGGTGAAGAAGTTGCCCGACAGTGTGTAGTGGACTTCACATGACAATCTTCACAAGAATACTTTTATGAAAAATGTTTTTTGATGCTTTTTAGGAATATAAAATAATCGAGGAATAGACAGACAATCCGACTTCATGACTGCTTCAAAAGTAGGGAGCCGTCGTTTTATCAGTCGTCCCTCACTGTAGTTTATTACAGTTACCATGGTCAAAATACAAGAAACCAGGGCTGTCCCCCTTTTTTACTTCATAGATAAAAACATTGAATATTTCACTGATATATTGACCACTGAGCTGGAAATGTCCCCGGTTTCCATTACAGAAATCTGGTCACCTTATTTCATATTTTTCACTCATCTTTGTCTTATGATCATACATCCATATTTGGCCTAGGCTATAATTGGTTGTCTATGGTCTGCCAATGAATTGAAGAGGGGCACTTAAAAATTGTGCAAATGTTATCTCAAGTTTATATTTTTGATGCTTGAGGTTTCCTTTCAGGAGGGGGGGGGGGTGCAGTGGAAAGAAATATGGGCTTCTGACTTAGGTTAATTATTCACTGCTACCCACAAGTAAACTCACCGGGACCCACACTACATTAAAAACAAGTGCAATATTTCGGAGGGTAACTACGCCCCCTCACTTTCCGCTTCCCAATCATAAAGCGTCTGTTATAATTGGCGTGGAAATGGGTGGGTGTGTGTGTGTGTGTGTGTGGGGGGGGGGGTCGCCTTGAAACTGGCCCCTACTACCACCACCAACCGCATTTTAAAAAAAATTAGAAGAAGAAGAAACCCACTGCTTGTTTTGATCCCTCAGTCTTGAAGGGAGAGGGGACCTTGAAACGGCTCAACCTCCTTGCTCCATAATTGGTTTTATAGTGCTGGCGAGCGGCCAGTGTTTTTTTTTTTTTTGTTTTTTTTAAACACTGGAGACTTTTTGATTGACAGTCGACGCAGCCAATCAGAGTGCAGCTGTGCAAACACGCACTGGGCTGGGTTGGGGTTGGGTGGTAGCGAAGGAGAGGGGCGGGGCTTGCAAAACAATGCTGTGTTTCATTGCTGAGGAGTTTACGGACGCGTCAGGGGCTTTCTCTCCCCCCCCAGTTATCCCCCCAGTTTACCTTCGGACGAGCCTGTAATGGACTACTCCAGTTCTCCCAGCAACCTGGACGGATTTTGAGAAACGTTTGCATTTTTAGCTCCTTACCCCCCCACAGATTTTCTCCATTCAAGTAAGCGCTCGGCATGTTTTTTTTTTCCTTGTTTGGTTTTTCTCTTTCCCAGCTGAAGTGCCACAGTTCTCGGCGTTTTAAAACACAATCTGGGCTGTAAATGTTGAGTGAAAAGGGCGCGGAGGTTTGCACACACGACATTTTGGATTTTTTTTTTTGTGTGTGTGTGTGTGTGTGTTGTTGTTGTTGTTGTTGGGAAGCTGTTATCGGTGTGGAAACCTCACTTTCGAGACGTTTCCTCCGAGAAAGTTTTGTGTGTGTCTCGTTAATGGAACCGTGAAAAGTTTGAAACGTGGCTGTAAAAAGCCGAGCTCCTCCGCTGCCGTGCCGCATGGAGCTCAACCGAGAGGGACACAGTCCAACCAACCCCCCGGAGTTTCTCTCAGTCCGCTCGGGGGCAACATTTGTATCTGCTGTGTTTTTGTAAAGGAAGGGGGGAAAAAAAAAAGAAAAGAAAAAAAAGGTTTATTGTGATTTCTGAACGAGCCTTTCTTCAGATCCCGCCCGCCTGGATATCACGAGTCATTGCTGTAATGTGTTTGCTTGCAGCCTTTTGAAGGTTAACGCGACTTTTAGCCTTGTTGGTTTTTCTAACATTAATTAATTTACTTAACTAAACAAACTGCTGTTTATTTCCGGGGAATGTGTATTAAAATAAATGGATCAGCGTAGATCCCTACAAAACGCCAAATGTATATCTCCGTGTTGCCTTCGGATAAAGTCGCGATTGCTTGTTGTTGTTGTTCCTTCTTAAAGTAACTTTTATTCTATCTTTCTGTATTTTAATTTGACGCACGCGCGTGTTTTCGAGGATTTTGTTTTATCAGCTGTTTTTTTTTTTTCCAAAACGATTAAAATCGACCTTTAAACAGATCCAAGACGCGCATTGCTCGGGTTAAGCTGAATTATCCGTCGATTAATGATATAAAAACACAGAATTACATCTTAATATTGGTTCAAACTGGGGTGTGGATGGTGAACCGTCGATAGCCTGCTTACAAATGGGGTTTTAGTTTTTAAACTGTGGGCTGAAGTGTTTACGGGTTGGGTTTTGATTTCTTTCCCTGGGCAGCACCCATGACCAATTGCGAAGTAGCCCGGACTAAATTCGCATCTGTGGGCAACAAAACACCGCTAACCTCGCTGATTAATGATGCAGGGTTTTGCAACCTTATTTATTTTTAACCCGTTTGAAATTTATATTTGATGCGCCTCCAGTATTTATGGTGTATTGGTTTACAGGGCGACTCGGCCCACAGCCAGCATTGCTGGTTTACGGTTTAGGGAAACAGCTGGGTAATCGGAAAAGGTAGAAGAGGTTATTAAAATTTGACCGTGCGCGTTTCCATCGCAGGATCGCGGAGTGTTTTCATGGCCGGGGCAGAGCAGCAGCAGCAGCAGCCGCCGGACGCCCCTCTCCTGGTTGTGTGTTCCCTGGGAAGCGGAGCCCCGGAGCGGCTGCCTGCTCGGTGTGCGGTGGGGGTGGAGTGCTGCTAGTCCGCTCAAACATTAGATGATAATATTGTGGATATAAGTTAAAGCTGCATTGAGATCTGCAGTTGGGACACACCAGGAGCGAGTCATATGGTCTTAATGTCGAGCGGCTAATACTCAACGTTTAGTTTTTGAAGTGGTTTTCCAAACTGCGTCATTGCACGTTTGGGCCGCCTGTTCGCTGGAAAGAGGAGAAATCCTAAAACTACCAGTTCAACACAGTTTGCTCAGTCTGCCCTCAGATTGTGAATCAAGCGATTTTCTTGTTGTATTTTGTAGGTCAGCAGGATGGCTGAGAAGGAGCTCGAATCGCCTGGAAAACTAAAGACATTATTATAGCCAGAATTGTCTTTTTCGGAATAGGGGGCCTATCCGAACGGACAATTTCTTTTTACAACTTTCCCCTCTGTGGATAATGGATGGCAGAGATTTTGGACCTCCTCGATCCGTCCACGTACCACCTCCGTTGTTGGCGGGGCTCGCAATGGAGTCTCACCGACTCGGAGCAGCAGCAGCAGCCGGGAGGATCCCTCCCTCGCCCGGTCACTTGGGCGCGAGTCATCCGCCGCCTCTCCACTCTGGAAAATTCTTGCCATCGGCCATTAACCTACATCCACACCACAGTAAGTACAAGACTGCTAGACTGCTTCACTCTCACTGTCAAAAAAAAAAAATCAACCCCTCAACCTTCAATCGATCAAATATTAACTTGATATAAGGCTGCGCAAAAAATAAAATGCGCACAGTTGGTGACAGCGTGTGCGGTCATTATTCTGATGTTCTGTGGGAAAGGAGCCTGGATGCAGGTTTCACAGGGAGGAGTGGCTGTTCTGTTATAAAGCTGTGACAAGTTTCAGATGTGGAAGTATGGCATCATGTTAAGGACTGCGAGTCTTAGCGATGGGCAACGCATCAGCGGAAAATTACTTGGCAGGTTCCGATACACGCACACGCACACGCACACACACATCGTCGGGTTTTTAAAGGCACATCGGGGCCGAGTGTGGAGCGCGGTGGTGTGGGTGTTGTTGCAGCAGTAGCAGCAGTAGTAGTGTGCAGGTCAGGGTGCAGTGGTGTTGGATTGTGCATGTGTGGACCATTACACCGTCATGGCAGCAGATGCAGGTTGTGTGTGGTTGTGTTGGGGGTGGGGTGGAGGGTGGTGGTGGTAAAGTTGTGACCTTACAGGGATCACAGACCACTTCTTACCCTGTTGGAGAGGGGCTGGGGGTGGGGTTGGTTGGTTGCGTGTTTGTATGAGTGACGAATGGCTGTGGTTCAGTCTCTAGTATCTGGAGTAAAAGCCACTCTCCTGGAACAGTTGGCAAATGGCTGATGCTGCTTTTTTACTGCATTTGTACCAATTCTGTTGGACATCCCCACTGCTGCCTCGAGCAGGAAGTGTGAGAGAGAGAGAGAAAGAAAGGGAGAGTTTGTGTGTGTGTGGGTGTGTGTGTGTGTGTGTGTGTGTGTGGTGGTTTGATATATTCAGCCATTAAGGAAAAGGTGTGGCATTAACCACACAGGCTTCATAAACCACACTCCCATGTGTTTGTTTACATCACTCTCTACCTGCCTTCTGTGTGTGTGTGTGTGTGTGTGTGTGTGTGTGTACACAGTATCACCTGACTGCAGTCAGTAGATCATCTACAGTATGTGTTATTCCCTGCTGAGCTGGTGATTTTCCCTTTTTCACTGTCACCGCCCCGCACCCTGATCCCTGCTCCAGCTATTAGTAATGGAAGCCCTGAAATAACATTGTGCAAAAAGAAAAGAAAGAAAGATAACATTGAATGTTTGCGTACAGTTTGTGGTCAGTCAGAGGGAAAGTTCTTGTTAAGGTTCAAACCATATGTTGTGTTTGTCTGGAAAAATGGAAAATCTGACACACTCCTCATGGAGTTACTTTCGTCCCCCCCTGAAGTCGCTTAGATACAATTCCAGTTTCTCCGGTTTCTTTTCAGATGTAATCCCCCGGAGATAATAATATTCCAGTTTAGTTCATCTGTGTTTCCACCTCGTCCTCATCGTTGAGCGTGGGTTCAATGCAGCACTTGTCGTTTGGAGCGCGAGGTACTAGAGGTCTAGTAAAGTGAGGCGGTGCTGGCAGGGCAGGGCTCTGATGAAGCGTTAATTTGACACACCGGCGGAGCCTACACACTCGACTCACGCACACGAGAAGCTGTCAGAGATGAAATCAACTCGCAGCAGGGAGTGTTAGGGTGATTGACGGGTGTATCGCGGCAAAGAGATGTGCCAGGGCGCAGTTTAGTGCAGCTAGTCGATATGATTTTGTGCCTTCAGAATAACATGGAGGTGAAATGATCAGATGTTTGGATTTACTGTAAAAGGGGAAAAAAAGAAAAAGAAAAAGCCACAATTTGTTGGTTTAAAAACGCGTCTTTGCAGCAGCAGCAGTGTGTTTTCAGCCGGGATGATGTTCCTCCATTTCCCCTCCTGTGGCTCTGAAACGAGCTGAAAACTGCTTGCGGTGTGTGTGCAGATGTGCTTGTGTGGAACAACTTGCTGTGCTGCCAGAGGGAGGGAGGGAGGGAGGGGGGGAGGGGTTGTGAAGTGGAATTGACCCAACCACTGTTCCAGCCCAGATTGGTAGTTTAAACACTCCTTTAAAACGGGATGCATTTTATTCTGCCCACACACTGACCTTCTCACTCCCCGACTCTCATCTCCCAGCCTCCGCCCACTAAAACACACCACCGTACGACACAGGTCATTTAGCTTTACGGCGCTCCTCCATATCAAATCCCCACACATTACATTAACCGAACCCCCGATTGAGATCTCGGTCCCATGCTTGTAATAACACTATACGGCCCTGTTACATGATAATTACCCGGTAATTGCAAATGTTCATAATGTTCCCATTTAATTGCAATAAGCAGCGTGACTCCAGCTCTGAAGCAGCCGGTGTGCAATCAGAGGAGCCAAGGCCGCCCTGCCACTGTTTTTGTTTACACGTGTTTCATGGAATTCGAGACATTTTTTTTTTTTATTTTGCACTGTCGTGTTTGGCTGAGCTCTTGATAGCAGGGTTGACTGTTTATAGCTGCCAACACACTCCTATTTCCCAGGAGTCTCCCTTTATTGAAGTTCAGTTTTAATAGGGTTTCCACCTGACTTAATGGAGTAAAGTGTCGCCCTTATTTCCACACCTCCAGGTTGTCAGATGTGTGGGAGAGACAGATTTGTTTTTAAATGCATTGTGAAGCCGCAAATAGTTTTGTTGACGTTTGTGCTGCTTGTTCGCTCGACCACGCAGGAAGGGACCTCTGTGAAGACATCCTGCTTTTCTACCTGTATCCACACAGGTCATATCTAAACACGGCAAAAGCCCTCGTCGCTGTTTGTAGATGTAAAATGGCTGTAAATGGTCCTCTTGTCTGCTGGAGGTGAAGATGCCTCCGTCACCAGATTGAGGCCATCTGTCCTCTTCGTCCTCTTCCCTCCCTCTCGCATCCGAGAGCAGCGGAGGTGGGACCCGCTGAAATGTGACTGCACCGAGGAGACGAGGCCTCACATGATTTTTATTCCTAAAGCTGAGCTGCAACCGTTAAAGTTGCACGTCAGTTTATCATGAGTAGAATCAACAATTAAGGATAAGGAGTTTTTTGCATCTGAATGACATTTTTTGCACTGTGTTTCCCAGATGTCACCTCAATCAAAGTGTGTGTGTGTGTGTGTGTGTGTGTGTGTGTGTGTGTGTGTGACATCCTTTTCCTTGGATTTTGGCCAATTAACCACTCAGCTCTCATGTCTTTAAGCAAACAGAGTAATGTTGCCGCAGCTGTGGGAAATGCAAAGCACATCATTTCCTGTGCACCGGCAGCTTTTTCCGGGTGTTGAAAGCAGAAATTGCTGTAGGGCCGTGCACGAACCTGGGTGCCGCTACATCACCGTTGTGTTATATCCAACAGGCGCAGTTGTAGATGATGACTTTAAACTGAATGGACAATGTGAACGTACGAGTTCATAAGTTCAGTTTGCATACTTAATGAGGCAAAAATGACGTTCAGGGCGGCGTCCCTCATCTGTGAGACTGAAGGGATAACACGCCTGAACTAGCAACTTCCCTGCTCTTTTGTCTCATACATTAACACACACACACATTCACACACGTTTTTTTAGTTTGCACGAGGGAGTAGCAGAAGATGGGAGTGAGACGCAGATGTAGGTGTTGTGGTGAGTGCAGAGGAGAGAAGTCAATAGATGGAGATGAAAACCGCTCAAGACAAATGGAAAAAGAGAAATAAACAGGCGCAATCCCCGAGGTGGGAAGCTGTGTTTTGTTTTTGGAAGGATAAGAGCCGAGGTTGTCGTTTGTGTGTGTGTGTGTGTGTGAGAGAGTGTCGGTGCAGATGAGAGGATTGAGGTCTTGTGTATGGGAACAGGAGCATGTGATTGTGCTTAGTGCAGTTAGAGCCGGGGTTTCCCCCTGGGACTCTGCAGAGAGAAAGGAAGAGATTTATCCTGACCACAACACTTTCATACACGGTTAGATAAATGTGGTAGCCCTTCAAATGTTCTCCCTTTCAGTCTCTCACACACACACATACATACATACATACACACACACTCACACTCACACTCACGGGCACAGCAGTGTAAGTATAATTCATGCAGCTTGCGGGGCAGGCCAGGGTTGTCTTGCCCGATACCAATTTGTCTTCCACGGTACTTGGTTAGTGTGTCTGTTTACGTTAAAATTAATGTGGTGAGTGTGTGTTTATATGTATTCAAGACACAGACTCCTACGTGTGTGTGTGTGCATGTGTGTGTGTGTGTGTGTGAGAGAGAGAAGACGTGGCTCGGACACATCCCCTCTCAGATTAATTGAATCTTTCAGGGGAGAAAACAGGCTCCTTAAGAGAAAGCACAAGGCACTGCTGCCCTGCTACAATAAACCTGTCAGAGGCAGACAAATGACACACAGTCACACACACACACACACACACAGTCTCACACACACATACACACGCACAGCTGTCAAACATAAGAGTGACAGACCGGTGTGTGTGTGTGTGTGTGAGAGAGAAAACAAGCGTGCTGTGGCATGTTGAAATACCGAAAGCATTAGCTAAGCCGTTCGCTCTGCCAGAACCCTCCCTATAACTCAAACAACACCCTCCGACACACAGAGGTCACACACTGCGTTGTGTCTGTCAGTTCGGCTGCATGTTGAGTCTCTACGTGTCCCGTTACATAAGGTTTATAATATTCGGCCCAGGAAAGTTTGAAAGGTAGAATTGAACTCCATGAGCAGCGACGTGAAGGAGACGCAGAGAGCAGGTTCCAAACATTCGACTGTTTCTTGATTATGGGCTTTAGTCACCGAGACGACCGGCACCTTTGACCAGTAACTGACTTCTGCCACTTGGCTTCTTATCCTCCAGGTATCGACTAAACCGAATAATTTGCACACTTCACTTCACTGCCCAGGAAAAAGTCTCATTTCATCTATGAATTAATCCTAATTTACGCACCTTTTCTTCATCCTGTATTTCTGTCAGTCGGCACCTCAGTGGATTTAGTTCATGGTGAATTTTAAACCGTACGCAGTCCCTGCTGAATGTCGCAGCGTGAGTTTCACCTGGCCATCGCAGCG